ATTAAAATGCCGCCTTAAAAGTCAGACGCAGCATTTATTATTAAAAAAAATTAAATTTTAATAATAAAATGCCGCCCTAAAAGTCAGATGTAGCATTTATTAATAAAAAAATTAATTTTTATTAACTTTTTATATAAAAATGCTGCCCCAAAAGTCGGACGTAGCATTTATTATTAAAAAATTAATTTTTAATAATAAAATGCCGATCTGAACATCAGAAGCGGATTTTTTGTTAAAAAAAACAAAATTATTATTTTTAACATTAAAACGCCCTTCTGAACGTCAGAGGTGGATTTTTGTTAAAATTTTTGATCCGTCAGATACGGATACAGATTCATATTTGTCAGATTCAGATCGAATCAAATTCAAATTTTTTGGATTCAGATCGAATCAGATTTTGCCTAAATCCAATCTGATCCAATTCATGAAGAATACTACCTGTGAACAGTGATGTACATTTTCGATGTCTCAAACATTTTGAGACTGTCCTACACTATGTCCCAAAATGTCTCACATTAAGTCTCAATGTTTCAGACCATGTTCTAAAAATGTCTCATGACAACACTGCCCACAGGTATTTCATTACCATTGATCACTGTATACAGTACCCCTAAAAATAATACCTCCGCGATTAAGACTTGGATATTATTCTCCATCCATGGCGATCTGGTCACAGGTAGTACCTGGGTACTTTTCAACGTCAAATTTCGTTAAAATTGATATACTCAATAAGTGGAAAATTTATAATTTTTTTAAAAATTTTTATTTTATTTTTTATGTAAAATAACTAAATATAAAAATTAAAAGTACTTATAAAGAGTTCTAATGCTTTTTAATGTTCGTTAGTTACACAATCTTTGTAAAAAACAATGCTGCTGAGTTTCAGCATACAATATCTGTAAAAGGCTTATTTTCACGGAATGTCACGGAATAAGAGGTTTATAAAATGTGAAATCGCATATTCTTTTTTTATAAGCACAAAACTTTTATTTCCTTTTAACAGTTTACTTTCTGAAAGATTTTGGTTTTAGGTTATAGTATTATGCGTCGATATATTAATGAAAACTCACCAAGAACTTATGGTTTGTTTATTTATTTTAATCAATATTTCTATCAACTAATCCCAAATATTAACATAATTTCCCTCTTCATTTTCATAATATTCATCCTCTGCATCATCTTCATTATCTTTCAAATCATCACTTTCTCCCTCTTCTTCAATATCAATTCTTATGTTTTTTTCACTTGTCACTTTTTCAAAATCAAAAATTAAATTATCTTCAGAGCCATCCATTCTTGTGGAAATCCCACAGCTATACATGAAGTCGAAATAGATTATTTTGGATATTCAAAATGGTCGAAATGGTCAAAATCATTTCGACCATTGAAGGCTAAAGTCACGAAATAATCGAAATGATGTCATATCACATGATTTTTCATATTGAGAAAAATAATAAACAAAAAATGTACAATCTCGATCAATATTGCTCCGATTCGTATGAAACAACTACCATTTGATTCCTTGTGACTTGGAGGATACA